TTCTATTTAAAGTCATATTTTATTTTTAAATTTCCAGGAAGTAGGACATTGAGCTTTTAATGTTACATATTACTAACATTCAAAATTAAATTTAAATTTACCTATTTTCCTTATAAATTGTATTGGCTTTACATATTGGCTCTAATTTTAGAAGAAGCAATAGTGCTAACTCTTAAACTATGTTAAAAAAAAGTCCTTCAAGATCTCCCCCACCAGTCTCTCCTCCTAGCCTGGGTCCTGTCCCATTCCTTGTCTTGGTGCCCCAGACACCTAACCAATACTGCTTCCTGATCCTTTTCATCCAGAGCAACTCAGGGCCTTCTCATGCCATAGGAGCACTGCTTCTGAGCCTGGCCCCGCCCTCACCTCCCTCTGCCTCCCTGGGTCTACACATCCCTCCAGCCTCTTTCCTGGAAGCCAGGGCTGACCTTTCCTCTTCCTGGTCCTTTGCATCCAGACCAACCCAGCTCCTCAGTGCAGTCCCCAGAGGCCCTTGGGGCTGCCTCCCGCCCCCATCTTCCTTTGCATCTCTGGGCGGCATGGCCACCAGCTGACCTAGACCAGCATCTTTCCTGGGCCCGGCTCCCAGGCCAGTCCAACCCCCAAATCCCTGAGGCCAAAATCTATCCTGAAAGGATCCAGACCTTAGGAGAAAGCCTGAGAGCATCTGATCCTCCATCTGACTTGGGCCTCTATGGGAACTCCTGAAGACAAAAGCAATTCGGCCACTCCAATATAAAATCATAAGAGAGAACTGCAAGCTTAGACAAACCAGCTTTTCATGCCCAAAAAGTAAACCACAAAGACACATAAAGTTCACAAAAAGAGGCAGACCTAAACTTGAAGGTTTGAGTCTCACACAAGAATCAGAAACTACAAAAGAAATTCATGTTAAAATCACAGAGAAAAAATAAAAACATGAAAAACCAAAATAATATATACTAACCAAATACTAATAATCCTCTAGAGGAGTACAATGAGAACCCCCTAGAGATAATGC